AGGGAGATGAAGTTCAGGTCTCAAGAAATCTTGTAGGTTTAATATGTAGTTCGAGCAAAAGTTGTTTTGTTGTTCCTCATGTTGTATCATTTATACTGACGTTATCTTTCCGTTGGAGGAGGAAGACAACTGCATTAAATGTGCGAGTTATAGAGTTGACTCGTTGGACCCACGAGATTTGTCGACTTGCTATTTTGGGAAGATATTTTCCTGGATTCTTGGTCAATCAGTAGTTTTGTCTCTACAGGGTCTGGAGCTCATTAAATGAGCATTAAATGCTTGTACAGTGGCATCTTCCGTTGAGATGCTCCTAGCCGTTAGGGATTTTCCCGTTAGTTTCACGGTCGTTGGAAGTTCCTTCGAATTCTTCTAAGTGTCAGCAAGTCTGATGACCAACTCTGATGTCCGTCTCTGATGGCTAGTACTGATAGCATCTCTGATGAGCAGCTCTGATGACTAACTCTGGTAGCAACTCTGATCAAGAGAGCCAAAGAGGGTTTCTGGTCAGTCGACTATGCTAATACTAGAAAATTCTAACACAAGATTTCAAAAAGGGGTACACTATTATTCTAATTGACCTAACATCATCAAAATCTAAATACATTTAATCCTTACAGGTTTTATGATGATAAAAACTTTTTAGGAACTTGTCTAAGGTGTTCCTAGAGCTTTCACGGAGTTGAAAGAGTCACCGGAGTTTGAGAAAGTTCGTCGGAGCTTCGCCGGAGTTAAACCAGGAAGGAAGGAACTTCTTAAAGCTCATTCAAGGTGAGTGGATGGCTTAATGTCTTGTAACTCTTGGGTTAAGTATAAGATTACCTAAAGAAATGTTATAAGTATTCAAAATGATGTTTAAAGGAATTTAAGCATGTGATTAGCCAAAGTGGTTTGGCTTATGTGAATAATATTACATGATTATGCATGTTAAAAGTATAAAATGTGTATAAAAATATATGTGATGTTTTGGATGGTTAAAATGAGATATTTTGGTTGTTTAAAACCTATGTGTTTTATAAAAGTTTCGGACCGATCGAAGATCATACGGGGGGTCAACGGACCACCGTCGTTGGGTAGACGGTTAACCGGCGCCGGCCATAGGGCCAAACCGGCGTCGGTTATGCCACTGCTTGGCCGGTCTGAAGGATTTAACACATAACCGGCGCCAGGTTGGGGCTTAGCCAGCGCCGGGTAAGCTGCTGCTACAGATTCCGACTTTCGCTGAAAATGCGGTCCGGGTCCGGTTCGAAGGGGGTATTCACCCCGGACACCCTAGATAAGTATATTGTGCATGGAATTGCATGGAATATGATATTTAAATGGTAGGTTTAATACCTAATGATTAAACTCTAAGACTTGGTCTAGTCTTGATAAACGATTATGATATAGACCCTTTCTATACATGATAAGCGGTAGATCATAAAAGTGAAAGTAAGATGGTGGAGAACCTAGGGACGACGATACTGTCCTCAAAACTCATATGTTTAGGTGGTGGAGGACCCATGGACGATGATACAGTCCTCAAAACTCAAATGTATAAATGGTGGAGACCCAAGCACGACGACACTATCCTCAAACCTCAGTGTATGAATAGTGGAGACCCAAGGACGACAGTACTGTCCTCAAACCTCGATATGTGAATGGTGGAGAACCCAGGGACGACGGTACTGTCCTCAAAACTTGGGTTATGAATTGATTAGGGCTAGGATGAGTCCTATACACTCATAGGTATATGGGTGGGTTGGGTTTGAGTCTAGGATATTGGCTACTACTATTTTCCCAAATAAACAATGACCTACGGGTCGGGCATTTCCAAGTGTATATATACTGATATGTATTTTATAACTTGGGGAAAATACTATACATGTATGTGTCACCCTATATTCGGATCTTATACTTGAAACATTAGTTACTCTACATTTAGCTTGCTACTCGCTCGGTACTTGTACTGACCCCTTCGGGGGGGGGGGGGGGGGGGGGGGGGCACCATTTTCAGGTTGAAGCTAGGGCTTGCTACATGCACCTTCTCACGGGTGAAATCAATTCAAGGAAGACGTGGTTCGTGCTTCCTTATTTCCTTTCAAACTACCAAACACTTGCTCATGGATATTTGATTTACTATAAACTATTTTGGGCCTGTGAGCCATGTCTTGGCCGGTTGTGGCCCATGATTTATCATTGAATATTTCCGCTATTCCTTGGTTGAATGTGATGTTGTTATGTATGCTTACTACTGAGTATGGATGGATTATGTTCATAGACGCCTTGTATGATTAAGTCACGTTAACTTGCGGGTGACATCACTTGGTCATACGACGGTTCTACACGCGCTTAGATGCGGTCTGGGGCGTGACAAGAGAGGTACTCCGTATAAGGATGAAATGATGGGTATTTGTGGGTGAGGGTATTTTAAGGAGTATTGGAGTATTAGGTTGCCTAAAACAGGACAATTATTTCGGGACGGACCGAAAAGGAAACCAGGACAATTATTTCGGGACGGAGGGAGTAGTTTGGTTAAACCAAAATGATTTTTAGGTTAAACATTAGAACTACTCGACATTTAAGTTAAAAGTTCTTAAAATGTATTTGTAACGTTTGAATAACATTTTCAAAATATTTAAGCTGTGTAAAGAAAAAAGTGTGTACATTACTTCATAAATATTCACCTATTATAGTGTTGTTATTTAAAACAATTTTTCCTTCATTAAAAAAACATTTTTTCCTTAAATTTAATTGAGTTATTGCCTTGAGTAAGACTAAATTGTTGCTGAAATTCCTAAATAGGAGTAGGTGTATTTTTATTCCCTAAATGGGACCCCCCCCCCCCCAAAATTACCCTTTTCTAATTTCTCAATCATGCACAGCAGCGGAGCAGCCCATCGCACATCGCACATCGTCAATCCTCTTTGTTCATAGTAGCTAATGGCACACCGTCAATCTTCTTCCCTCACCTCTCTTCTCTTAGTCTTATGTGCTCACTAGCTCACATCTTCTCTGTTCTGGTCACCATCTTTTCTGATCTATTATCATCTCCTTTGATCTGCTCATCATCTCTTATGACGGTGAACTTTGAGGTGCTGTGAACGCTGAACGACGAGCGGCGAACGGCGAGCAGTGAATGACAGTGATACATCCACTCATTATCCCTATTGTAAGCCCTCAACGACGAGCTTCGAGGTGCATAGTCACGACGATACCTCCACTCATCCTTCTCCTCTTATCTAGTGTAGGTGCGAAAATATTGAGATGCTTTATTTGTCCTTTTTTGTTTGTTCAAAATATCAAGTTATACTCAGAAAATGTCATCAAAATGGCATTATGACTCTTCCAAACTTTCGTGTTTTTCTTTGAAAATGCTATTTAGATAGCACTCTCAATTCATGTTTGGCATTCTAATTACAATGTTGACATCCACGGCGGCGAAGGCTAGATTCATAGCAGCAGAGGCTGGATCTGTTGTGGCAAGGGTCGGATCTACTGGGCTGGTGGCGGCGATTGCAAGATTTATGGTGGAGATCGCCAGATCTGCACCGGCGATGACCAGACCTGTAACGGCGACGACCAAATCTACTACGACGACCATTTATGAGGCGGCGGTGGCCGGCGGGCAGTGGCGACCAGAGTCCGGCGACGGTCCGACATTCTGTTGGCGACAGTATGTTTTCAAATCTTCATGGGTGTTTCCGTCCAACTACAAATAATAATTCTCATTTAGGGAATTTTTAAATTTTAGTCTTATTTTAACAATTAAAGATTTATTTACTCCTATTTAGATAAATCCCCCTAAATTTTATATTTTTGAAAAAGGCTAAAGGGTCCAATAGGCCCCTGTCTTGGTCGTGTAAGCTCAATTTATTCCCTGAACTAAAAAAAGGTTCAATCCGCACCCCGAACCGATGAAAAATGGTTCAAATTTCATTTTTTACAGGTAAACAATCGGTCATTTATTTAATCTTTTTATTGTTTCAGTTTTTTTATTTTTTATTTATTGCAATATTTACACTTTGTAATAATTTAAGGGTGCGAATTGGACCTTTTTTACCGGTTGTTTACCTGTAAAAAATGAAATTTGAACCTTTTTTGTCGGTTCGGGGTGCGAATTGGACTTTTTTTAGTTCAAGGACTGAATTATGATGTTTTTACTTGGACTGTAATTCGTCCCAGACCAGACCAGACCAGATCAGACCAGATCAGACCAGACCTGACTAGACCAGACCAGTTCAGACCAGACCAGACCAGACCAGACTTGGATAGTTATAAAAATACAAAGAAACCAGACCAGACCAGACCAGTTCAGACCAGACCAGACCAGATCAGACCAAACCAGACCGGACCAGACCAGACCAACAAATTACAGTTCAAGTAAAAAAATCCTTGAGCTTACGTGATCGGTTCAGAGATCTATTTGACCCTTTAGCCTTTGAAAAATAAATGAAATAAAAAATCACGAAAAAGCCGTACATATATCGCCTATTGCCGCTCCACGTCCCTGTCCCCATCTACATTTCTTCAAAAAACAGTACATATACTCCCTCCGTCCCGAAAATGTTTGCTAAATTGACTTTCCTTGGTCGATCACAATCAACTTTGACATTTAATAATTTTTAATACGAAATTATTTTGAATATGAAACTTATATCAAATTGTTTCTTATTCAAAATATTTTCATAAAAGTACAAAATTTATAATGTATAAATTATACTACCTCCGTTCCTATTAAAACTTCCAAATAGGTTTGGCATAAAGTTTAAGATAGTGGGTATTGTGTGATGGAAAGTTATGCAGAAGAGAGAGAAATGTGTAAGAAATTTTGTGAATCACAAATTCTTTACTAACAAGGGAAAGTGAAAATTTTAATTGGAACGGATGAAAAATGAAAGTTAAAAATTTATTTAGCAATGAAGAGAGTACAAAAATATAATAACTACAATTATTATTCAAAGTTTGACCGGAAAAGTCAATCGTCTAACATTTTCCGGAAGGAGTAGTATGATATACCCACTCACGCACACATTTCCTCACGACGTATAACGTAACTTCCTGTATAAATACACTGTCCCCAACCCTATGTTCGTGACGGCCCATCGCTATCACCTCACTTCCGATCTGGAGTCCTCCTCAGATGCGGCTGTATGTCCACCACAATGCCTTCAGACCCTTTGCCACCCTCGAATCACCATTCTCCGCCGCCCCCAACGTCCCCTGCGATCTTCTCTTTAACCAAGAAACCCATTCGTACCCGCTCTGTTTGGGCCAACAACCTGGAGTCCGAATTCGTCTTGATTCGCAACCTCATCGACGATTACCCGTTTGTATCCATGGATACGGAGTTTCCCGGCGTGGTTTTCCGACGCGATCTCCGTTGCCGGGACCCCGATGAGCATTACAGGACTCTCAAGTCCAATGTGGACGCGCTTAAGCTCATCCAAGTGGGGATCACTCTCACTGATGCTTCTGGAAACCTTCCGGACCTTTGCTCACCCTTCCGCTACATCTGGGAGTTTAACTTCTGTGACTTTGATATTGGGCGTGATGATCACGCACCTGGATCTATTGAGCTTCTCCGTCAGCAGGGGATAGATTTCCACAAGACTCAAGCTTTAGGAGCGGATACCACCCGCTTTGCCGAGCTGATGATGTCTTCCGGCCTTGTCTGCAACGATGATGTCACTTACATCACATTTCATAGTGGCTATGACTTTGGTTACCTTATTAAGGCACTCAAGGGATGCGACCTACCCTGTACGCTTGGTGAATTCCATGAATTGCTCAGTGTGTTATTTGGAAACAAGGTTTATGATGTGAAACACTTGATGAATTTCTGTTCGAACCTCCATGGTGGGTTGGACCGTGTTGCCAGTATGCTTGAGCTCAGAAGGGCTGTTGGGAAATGCCACCAAGCTGGATCAGATAGCTTGCTTACGTGGCATGCATTCCAGAAGATCAAGAAGGATTACTTTGAGGACACAGAGTCCCTTACTCAGAATTATGCTGGCGTTCTTTATGGGTTAGAGATCCTCTCTCCTTAGGCTCTCTAGATGTAGAGTCTTCCGTTGATATTTCCATGTTATTTGTACAATACATTTCCTTGAACTTAAAACTTACATTTTAGCTTTTCTTCCTATTACCGATGGTCCTGCATTTTGTAGATCTTCATGCTAGTGCATTTGTTATGTTTGATTCTGATTTAACATTTAACTGAGATCTTTCTTTAGATTCTCCTGTTGTCTAGGGATATATATATGGTGTAGTTGAATTGTAAATAATAAAATCTCATATTTAATTGGCATCTAATCTCAATCATTTTTCGTTCAACTTACAACTTATTGATTGTTTATATAAACCTTCATTTCGTTTTGTCTAAAGACTTTAGAACTCATCGTGTTTCGAGTATAGTAATTGTAGATTTAAACAGTCCTATGATCCCCAAATCCACTTGTTTCTGAGTGTTTCTGTTGAACAACTTATTGTAGACATCAGAGAAGGGTGGGCTTTGATGGCCTGATGGGTTTAGCTCATTCGATCTGTTATTAATTTATTATTATGTTATTGAAGCTGGCATTTTGTTTATTCGTGGTAGGCAGTGATATTTTCGTTTAAGGCAATTGTGTTTGTTGGTGCTGATGTATTCAGCAAATGTTTGCTTGTGAAGCAAGCAGACAAAAGTGGGATAAGAATGTCGTACTCCTAGTTCGTCAATTTTTAGACCATTCTATTAGGTGGTCTGGATTGCATTTAGAGAATGGTGACAACATGAAATAACTCGTGTTTCTGAATTCATGCTACAAGATTATGGTGTTGTTTGGAATTGATTCTACTTCTGCTTCCTTTTTAAAAGCAGAAGCAGAATCAGTTTTTCGGAAGCTAGTCTCCATCAGCTTCTAAAGAACTGCTTCTAGGAGCAATTTGGAGCACCCATAAGTACTTCTGCAATTTCACCTAAACACTCTAATATCTGCTTCTGCTCCCCGTCAAGGAGCCGAAGCAGTTTTAAGAAGTAGATCCAAACACCCCCTATGTATCCTCTATTTGGCATTTGGGGCAGATTAGTAGGAAGATTTCTCTAAAGTTGGAAGTTGATCTAAAACCCTGAATGTCCCTGATCGCTTAGTGCTTACTATCTGTTCTTCCTATTTACAATGTTATCCGTCACAACTAACAAGTTCAGAACAGATAAATGACAAGAGTATGCGTTTATGTTACCTTCTAATAATTGTTTAGTAAAATAAAACGTGCTCCATTAACGTTCTGACAAGGTCAGTGCTGAATCTGTTAGTAGCCCTTTGCTATTATAGTTATATATCAGTTTTGTTTCAAATGTGCTAATTCGATTTGTTTGAATAATCAATAATCAATAATAACTACTCCGTATAAAATAATTAAAGAACTCAAATATCTTGCCTTGTGGAGACATAGTTGTCATGATGTATGGCGACATCCATGGTGCCATGGCGCCATGGCATTTGTCCATGGCGATGGCGATGGGGCATTTATGACGTCGCCACATGACAAAATAAAAATAAATTTATGAACTATAGACACTATAATTCTATCACTCAACCACCAAAACATGATAAAACAAGTTGAATGTTGACATTCCAACCAAAACATGTGAAGTTAAAAGAGTTTAGAGTAGTTCCAAAAAACATTATATTCAAAAAAAGTTTCATGTCTTTCAAAATATGTCAATTTGTTATTGTTTGATTATCAGGCTATAATCATCAGCAGTTATCACACTCCTCATCACCTTCGCCTAATCATCAGACGCCAGCTTTTACGTTAGTTCAGAAGCTTTCTCTGACTTTACGTTAGTTGTATCTTTATTTATTTTTCATTAGGGTTTTTGCGAATATAATGGGCTGAAATATTAAGTTCTTATTATTAGGGTTTTATTAATATTGTGGACTGGGAGATTATTTAAATATTTATCAGGGCCAAAGCTTAAAAATAACAAAGTAAAGATGTTCAGATCTGTTCAGTATTATGGCACACATGCCATGGCGAAGGCGCCGCCATGTGTATGGTCGTTTCCAGGAGGACTTTTCATGGTGATGGAGGGTTTTTTGCCATATGACGCATTGCGCGCATGCCATTTCTAGGCATCGACAACAATGTGTGGAGAACTTTAACAAAATGTCTGCTCTACTTTTCCTTTAGAATATGCTCTTTTGTTGTTTTCCTAATATATGCAGAAGTACACTGTTTTACAAATCCCATTTTGAGAACAGGGTGCTACACTGCTACATACTGGATTGAATTTCTGATTCGGGAAACCTCATGGTGTCATGTTTTAATGTTCAATAAGTTGCATATGTGAACTATAGTCCACTAAACATCACAATTCACAACAGTCAAGTGGATTGGTGATCCCACATGTTAAAGTAGGTACATGGACTTCCCGTTTTGTCATTTACTACTGTTGACATGGTCCGTTAGCCAAGTGAATCAAACAATTCTGAGGGAATGACCCAAATTTGTATTCCCTGTCCTCCCTATCTGCCAAGGTATGATATCTCTTAATAAAGTTCATTGACATTTGTAGTAAGGTATGCACTTTTTGTATATGGGCATGCCATGAACTTGAATTGTTAATATCTACAAATGTTACCGCATGTTTTGGCATTGAATCTCTGTATCTACAGTCATGGTTTTAAAAGGGGTCAAGAGGTGGGTTTAGAGGTGGGCCACAATGTGAGGGGCGTAGATTAGGTATTGAGGCTTAGTTTTTTGCAAGAGGCTTACACCTCAAAAGTCACAGCGTACACCTTGAGGCGCTTCAAGGCATTTTTTGAGGCAGGATCAAGGTAGACAAAGTCGCGAGGCACACTTAAAAAAGTGCTCGCCTGACTCATCTAAGGCGAATTACTTAGAAAATATCACATATACCATTATGCAATTATCAAACATGATGTATATAACATCATATTGAACCAACTACATTAAAAGTCATGTTTCTAAAAAATAAAGTCATGATACACCAAAATAAAGTCATGATTCACCAAAATAAAGTTATTGCATTAATTGTATTTGCATCATTTTCATGAGCCAAGTAGTATTGCTTCAAGACGGGTCTGTTTTTGCTGATTTGGCAGCTTCAGGACCTGTGGCTGAAGTTCGACCTTCAATTTCCTGTAAATGTACCAGGCAGATATTATTTATACAGTATACTTCATGAAACTATTCAATGATAAAGTTATATGAAGTCTACATGAATGTAAATATTAAATAAGAAGTATAAACAGACTTACACTTGATGGAGTGATAGTATAAATATATATGTTTGAGTTGTATTAGAGTATATAAGAAGGAGAAGCTAAAAAACTGAAAGAAGAAAGAAAATGGAACAGTGAAGAGAGTCGCACATGATAGACCACTATACCGGTAGTTTACATATAGAGTTTATAAGAAGTTGATGTTTGACTTGTATAGAGTTTATAAGAAGTTGATGTTGAAAAAAGAAAAAAAAACAAAGAAAATGGAACAATGAAGGAGAAGAAAACTTACTGTCATTGATTGCCGAGTGCTGCCAGCTTCTGCGGTTGATATGGAGGAGGTAGCAAACAGGTAATATGAATAGAACAGAGCAGGAGAGTTGAGGACTTGAGGCAGTAAACACTGTGACTTGTGTTGTTTAACGCAAGGTTACGCTGTTTTGACCTTTTATTTAGATATTTAGATGGGTTTTATCACATTAATTATATGGGATTCTTATATTTAAAATAATCTGAAACTTAAATATTAGGCTTAAACGCGTGTTTCCACTTCAGGCAAGAATAGCGAGCGCTTTTTAGTGCTTGAGCACTTCTGTGCTGACTTGCGCGTTACACAGAGAACTGCACCTGACTGTTGTCCAGTCAATAGGACTGGTGTTACACAGAGAACTGCACCTGATTGATCAGCCTTTTAAGCAAAAAAATGACTTCAAAGATTTTGGTGGCTGATTTTTTTAAGGAAACGTCCCTTTTGCCCTCAGTTTCTGTATTTCTCTATATATAAAAATATACACCATATTGTTTAAAGTAATAACACATCCAATTGTTCATTTCACCCTAAAAAATCACCAAACTGGGCCTTGAGCAACCTATTCCAGCCAGCTTGCTCTATACTTTGTAGTTGTCCAATTAGCTGGTGTCACTACGTTAGATCCATCCACCCCTCATTAGTCGTGCAATGACTGGCAATGACAGAGGCCTCACATAACTTTACATGTGTGAAGCTAAGTGATTAGTTATTCCAGCCTAAAAAGTTTGCAACTGTAACCAACAGTTTGCTCCAGTTCTAATTCAGATCAGAGGGATACCCCTGCATATAGTTGTATGAAACGCCGGACTTTTACATAATAAGACACGTAGGGTTGAATATCATATGAGGCAAAGAACATGGAATTTATCAATCTCGCTTTTGACTAGATTGGGCAGGATTTGCTTTGTTGGTTTCTTTTTACTGTGGTTGTAACTTAAATGAGGCACAGTAATTCTTATTTAATAAATGCCCATACATTAAACATGTGTCCACATATACTTTCTAAAGCCAAACAAGTCTGGCAAGTGAAAGTCTATAAGAATGGGAGGATTTTGATAGTATTGATGGAAGTGGTGTTGCTGTCAAGGCTATAATAAGATATGATGATGGTGATAAGGCTATAAGATATGGCTATTAAGCTTCTAGCTTTCTAAGATGTATCATCTTTGTTATGTGTTTGTTTGTGTGTTGGGATTCTCATTTTGAATTTTTGTATGTGATTGATGTGATCGTATAATGTGTTTGTGTTTGAGACTTCTTGGACTGACAATTATGAATATATTTAGTTTGTTTTAACTAATTTAAAGATTTTAAGCTTTATTTGTTGGTATACTTTGAGGCTTACGCCTTGCCTCTGAAAAATAACCCGCCTCAATGCCCGAACCAGCCCTCTTAAAATAGGGTGTGTCTGGGTGTGTTTGTGGTATGGGAAAGAAGTAAGAACTTGGTTGGTCCATTCCTACTACATTGGATTAACCAGAACTATGAAAGCATTTTTCCTTAACAAGAGTCGAGGCAACATTGTTATGTTCCTCTCTCCTTTCACTTGTCAAAGGTTTTCAATTCCCAAACAAAATGTTGGATTTGGTTTTAGAGACAAATGTGCATTTGGTTTCTGCTTCCTTGTTAAAAATGATGTTGCAAAACTTTGGTTTTCAAAGTCCATCAAGGAACAATTGGTCTTATATGATGACCCTTTTTGAGACGTTTCTTGATGCTCAAAATATAGGACCACCCCCCGTGGTCCTATATTTTTCTATCCCTCTTAGAGATCAAAATTTTTGCTGCAACAT